ACGCTCTCTAATTTAAAATATTAATGTAAAGAGCTATTAGAACATAATTTTAAGGATCAGCTATTTAAAATAGATAGAAATATTTAAGAGTTCATTAGATATGTTCTTAGAGAGTCAAACTCGCTTTCTATTCTTAATGTACAATAATTACATATAGTAAGTTGTGGATTCCAATACTTTACTTCTTAAGTTACTCAAACTACATTTAAATTGATTGATAATTGACATATAAAAAAATTATGTTAAATAAAATATGGAGAAAAATCAATAAATGTTTCTTGAGGAAAACAAAATGAAGTGTCAAAATAGAAAGTATTATTGGAGTGCATCAAAATTTTGATTTTAAATTTAAAGATATTTTCTATAATGCATAAGATGCTCTGAAAGATACAGTAATGTTGCTGAATAATAAGTGTGACAATACTAAACTCTTGTTTGAACTATATTATTGGAATGAAAATACATTTTTAAATAATCAAAACATCTCAAAAGAAATTTCTATTAATCAGACAGCACACATATACATTGTGGGTTTGACAAGAAATTTATTGAAAATGGGAAGAAGAAGAAGAAGAAAATTATGTACAGTTCATTCGTAGTTATGCGAGTGCTCATCTTTTGTTGCTAAAAGTTAAGCCCAAGGCTACAAGACTCCCTGAAACAATATAGTTCCAATGCTTTTCAACAAGTAGCTAGACCTCTGCAAATGGCAAACGAGCTGAACCCTTAACCCTGAGAAATTGCAAGAAAGCAACAATTTTTCAAAATGTAAACTAATTCTATGCTTTCTTAAGATTATACAAAACTTTCAATCTTGTCTCCTGTTTGTCTCCTCTTCGTAATCTGATACGCCAGAGATATTTCTACACAAAAATGCCGCTCACAAGCATCCTTTTCCAATGAAAAAATTATCGTTTTTCTGGCTTTGTACTTATATCAGCAATGACGCGGATGTTTCAGGAAAACGAGACATTGGTTAGTAGCACAGAACAGGGCTCGACTGGAAAAATAGAGAAATGACAAAACTGGAAGTCTCACTGTAGGCTAGCTCATCTTTTAACATACCCTGGCATTCATTCAATGACTGAAAGCTCGCAATACTGACAGCATTGGTTACTCTACTCAACTGTCCTAATCTATCAACTCAGAATAGGGCTCAAACTTGTACCTCCTCTATTTTCTTTATGGCTTCTTTCATCACAATCCTCTTGTCTTGATCACTTTCTGTGCATTCGGCTCCAATATATAGGAGTTTCTCCATTTGGTCAAGTGAATTTGACGTGTTTGCTATCTCTAGATCAATCAATTCTGAAACTTTGTTCTCAGAAATTGCTGTTTTAGTCCATTGTATAACATCTGTGCCACCCTTCTGATTGTTCAGATACTGAGAAGGAAATTTCCCAGTAACGATTTCAAGAATGACTACGCCAAGACAAAAGACATCGCTTTTTGGAGAAACTTGTTGATACAATATGGCTTCTGGGGTTTTATAAGCAAACAGTTGTTGCACAGATTGAGTGTTACTGATCAATGGATAAAGCATGTAATCATTGAGAAGTGGCTCGTAATCTGAAGAAAGAAGAATATTGCTAGACTTTAGATTCCCGTGTGGCAATTCATATTGTGCAAACTCATTGTGAAGGAATCCCATTCCTTGAGCAACTCCTTGAATGATTTTCAGACGAGTAGGCCAATTCAGCTCCCCATGATAAATCCCACGATCACCTGAAATACTCCGTTTTATAGTTTAAGACTTTATTAAACAAACAAAGAAAGAAGAGCGAAAGGCATGTGAAAATGACTGTTTCTAGATAGAGGAGAACTGGCATTGGCAAATTCAATATCATTTCTTTGAATTTTGATAACTATCTGTTTTCTGATTATACCTTTCAGGTTTCAAGAAGACCATAAAGTAAAAATGTAAATAAACTATCTTGAAGAAAAAGGACTATTTCCTGCATATGACGGCGTTCATTAGATTTTTTTTTTTCTAACTACATCAATATATAATTGATCCAAATGTTGCAATTCAGGGATATCAGATGAGGGTCAATTTCGAGATT